ATTTGGATGCATCACAGATCCGTTCAGTCCAATCGATGGCCATAATTGCTCTGTTGATTTGAGGAAGTTGCAAATGATGTTTTGATTCAAATAAAGCATCGTGAATGGCCGAATGTGTCGAATGTGGTGCAAAATGCACTAATTAAGCATAAACAACGAAAGTGTTTTAATTTGCGTGACACTAAATGCGTTAACTAACAATTAACTCGTTTTTAACATCTAGACTTTTTAATCATTAATAATGCAATAGCGCATTCCAATGAAATTTTTCTTTTCTTCATACACTCATTCATTAATTCATTCATTGATATGAGGGGTTTTTATTCGCTGTTTTTTTTTTCGTTTACCTGTTAACATGTCACATATTTGCGAAACTCGCAACGGAAGAAGAAACAAAGACAATTCAATGGAGGAAAAAAAAGTGATTGTCATGAAGCGAATGTTTCTTCCTCTTGCTGCTGCTGCTGCTGCTGCTGCTGCTGCTGCTGCTTATTTCGAACGTCTTTGAAGTATTCCTGTTGATAAGCGAAACCGGGTAAACTTCTTCTCCAACACATACAGTGCATATCTCAGTGCTTCAAATTCAAATCCGAAATTTCGGTCCAATTCCATTTCGTCTTGATGTGATCATGAATTATGGTGATTGAGGTCATAAATTTCAACTCGAATTACTCAAGTTACAGTGTTTTTTTCCCCGTTAAACACTATTCATATCCGTTCAACAACAGCAAGAAAGAAAACACTTTACATCTTTAGAATGTGCTCATGCGATCGATCAATTAGCTGCTTTTCGAAAGCGAATCAATTAAACGGGCTAATTCCCAAAATCTTAAGACTAAATTGGTTGTTGCTTGTTTTGCGCCATGAACGTTAGTGAACTGCGATTAAATTAAAAATGTGGAAAAAGTGTAGAATTTTTAATGATTTTCTACTCAATTTTTCATTTCTTTTTCTTACCTATGACACAAAGAACAACAGCAGCGCCCGAAATGTACGTGAGCGCGCGGGCGCATATCGAAAGCGAAATAAATATTTTGGTACACAGTCGAGCACATTTTTCGGATGCATTCAAAATTTAATGGAAGTGTCGAACTTTTCACTGTATGTAGTGTGCTGATGAGCAATTTTCAGCATTCAAAGCATAATAAAAGTGAAACAGGCGTAAAATTGTTTTATGAACGGAGGAGTAACGATAGTACTGGAAAACAATGGATTTGATCGCAAACTCAAATGAAAATCGTCGGTTGAAGTGACAGTGATTTTGTGCTTTGATGATGGATAATTTGGATGGTCGCGAATTTTTTCCGATTTTGTCGATGATAGTGTGAACATTTCTCTAGCCGTCATCACAATAAAACACACTAAATGTTTCATTGAAAGGCAAATAAATTGATGGATATTCTATTGTTCAATATTTTTGGTTCGCACAAATTTTCGGAAACGGAAAGGAAATCAGTAAATGAGTGTTTCGTGATGAAAGAAAAAAAAACAATTTTTAAAAATAGCATCAAATGGTATGGTCACCAGCCGAAAAACCACTCAGACGAATCAAACATGATTTGGCTGTTATGGTCATGAGATGCGTTAGTCAATCAGACGAAAGCATTTTTTGCTCTGTCACACAAAAATCGGCTCTCTTTACTTTCTTTCGTGCGATTGCGCGAGAAATCATACGGTAAACAAAGCGACACAGAAAAAATCAAATAAAAACAAAATAGCCAGCAACGACTTTAGAGATCATTTTCTCATCTATGCATAGAGTTGTCGCAGCAGTAGCAGTAGCAACAAAAAGTGAAACTCCATAATAATGGAAGATAATAGTTTAGCATTTTGTGTAGGCGTTAAGTCAATTTCTATTACAGTATTACGAAATAGGCGAAATCACATCATCATACGCATGTACGATCGTCTCTGTTTACATACTTAAGAAACACAAATAAGCACACTCTCTGGAATTGGGCCCAAAAGCAACCAGTCGAACAGTGGACAAGAATGAAAGTGAAACACACGCACATGCACACGCACACGCACACGCACACGACCCATCGTATGCTCTCTAAATGGGAAGCATCGACATTCGCTTGCACCTAAAAACACATTACATTTCATTAGTGTGTTCGAATGGAATTCGTTTTTTGATTGGTGTCATTCGGACACAGAGTGCAGTCTCTTGCTCTATCTCTCTCTCACACTCGTTTGCTCTGTCTGCTTGCGTTTCCCCCGCAGTCTCCCAGTCATTTCGATCATTATGGCATTGTGGTGTGTGCTAAGTGGATTTTCCCAACATATATTTTTCGGGCTTTTTGTTGAATAGATTGAAAAATACCAAACAAAACAACACGAGCGCATCAATTACTCGTACGTTCAGCATGATTTGGGCACTTGGATTGAATAGATATTCACACGATTTCGTAACACTTTGTATGACGATAATCAAATCGCATTCGACTTGACTTCTTGATTATAGTTCGTCGTTACCTCGTCCGGCCAGTTTTACCATTATTATTATTATTCATTCGTTCGTTCGTTTGTTTTTTTTTTTCATTTGTTTCCAACAACATTTCATTAACTAGGGTGAAAGTTTTCGTTCGCTCAAGATCTCTCAGCACAATACACATATTTTCTTTGTCTCTCTTTCTCTCCCTCTGTGTGTGTTTTTTTTTTCGCTCTCCAATCGAATTCAGGTAATTCTTCTTTAATTTATTACATTATTTTTATTGCATCCATTCGTCATTGGACGTGGGATCTTTTTTTCGCGTCTGTCACTCTCTTTCGCTTTTATTTTGATTTCAAATGCTCGAATGCATAAACATTGTAATTTTGAATGGCCAATGTTTCATTAGACCAAGCTGAAACCGGCGATGGATGCGTAATATACATTTTATAACCAGCATGGTAAATCGAACCACAAACCATAATGAATGCGGTGATTTTTGCTGTGATGCTTTTCTATGCAAAAAAACTTTCGATTAAAACACATAATCTTCATTTGAACCATGCAAGATGCAACTTGCAATTTGTCAGCCATTAACATCAATTGAGGTACAGCAGTCGGACTGTTGCATACATGTAATTTGTAATTTATATTCACGAGTACACGTGACATCTAAATGCATCTAAATACATGTGCCGTTGTCTGTTGTTTTTCACTGAATGCAAACAAACAAGCAGCGATAATACGACCATTGAAATCCAAGCAGAAAAAAAGACTCACCACCAATTTTTTCCTTCTTTTAAAAACTTAAAATACTTTCTGCATACGAAAATACCAATAATTTGCGGTGAAAAAAAGAGATAAATTAAAAAACATAATTTCTAAAAACCCGTTTGAATGTCAAGTTTATTAAAGTTTATTTTAATGGCCTCTTTCACAACAACCAATCTTAAAGGCGAACGAAGCTCAACGACTTCTCCAAGTAGCAAGCTACTTCATTTTCGAAGTGGCGACCTCTAACACACTTCGCAGACATCGGAAACTTTATTTCGCTGTATAAGCTAAGCAGTTTAGCTTTTATCAAAGTTTCTTATAAGATTTACCGTAAGCAGGGTTCGAAATATTTCATCGTTCGTTTGTGTTTTTTGGTTCTGAGAATCCAAATAGGCCAAAAAAAACATGTTGAAAATAATAATCAAAACGCATTGATGATATTTGTTTATAATTCTTTACACCTATATATTGTAAATTGGATATTGATCAGTGTCGGGTTGGTGGGTAATTTTCCCAAATTTTATTCAATTTTGAATTAACAACTTTTTTGCATCGAATGCTCTGTTATGTTTCTAATCATGGTTTGATGATTAACTCAAACCACTCTACAATCAACATGGATCTTCCCAACCGACGTAAAACTTCTCGTCAATTTATCTACTGTATATTTTCTGTTCTTGGAGTATTAAAGAAGAAGCAACTAACACAACACTTTAAATTCACTCCACCACATATTAATAGAAGAAAATATGGGTACGAAACATTGGCTTTATTCAAGCATTATATTGCATCGTCTTGAGAGCAGACGCTGATAGATTATCTAAAAACAAATAAAGCATCCAAATCAATATAAAACCAAAATGGATTAAAATTTATTTCTTTGCTTAATTCAAATAAAATTGAGTTTGTAGATCAATACGCATTGAATTTTGATAGTTTAAACATATATCAAAAAGATTATTCATAACATTGCATCCATATCTAATGGAACTGATTAAATGCATTTAGTTTTTGGAATGTAAAATAATAATACATTGCATTGAAATATAGTTACTGACATGCCATTCAAAATACAGAAAAAAGAATCAGAAGTTTGATGTGTCAAAAGATACACAACCAATTCGCCCCGTTCACATACACACATTCACAAATGTAATTAGCCGCATCTGCATGCGATTTGACCAGCAGTGATTTGCATGTGGTTGCTTTGCTGTTCATGCTGTCTCTTTTTCGCTATATGCACAACAAATGACAGATTGGACTGAAAGCCGGTTCACAAATACATACGCACATACGGATTTTCGAACGCCGATTTGCTTATTCATTTCTGAGCGATACAATTTTCACTGACATTAGAACAGCTCATTCCTTCAACAACGTTTGTGTGAACAACAACTGTCATTCTTATAAAACACGTTTGCGAAAATATTCATATTCATTTTCAAATACCAAAATAATTGGGCAGAAACGAAGAATTTTATCTCAATTTTCATTTTATTTTGTTTACGATCATTGAAATGTCGAGTGTATTGAAGAATACCGCTGCTTTCGAAGGGTGTGAAAAACTATATCTCAACGAAGATTTTGCTGACGTTAATTTCGTGTTCAACGTTGATGACGAGTGTGAAAAGGTTCCGGCAAACAAAGCCAATTTAGCTGTTCTCAGCCCAGTGTTCAAAACGATGTTCTTTGGTTCGTTGCCAGAGAAAGGAGACGTTCCCATCCTCGATGCGGATACCGATGCGTTCAAGGATTTCTCCAGTTTTTCTATTTGGGTGAACTGACTCTGACCATGGAAAATATCGAGACCGTTGTTCGTTTGGCCGACAAATACGATGTCCTCGAACATGTCAACGCTTTTGCCGTGTTTCTTAAGGGCCAACTGACATTGGATAACATGTGCTGGGGCTATCAGTTGGCCGTTAATCTCAAAAATGAAGAATTGGTCGAGTTCTGTGAGGACAAAATTGCCAGATCGCCAAAGAAAATCTTTGCTACCGACGCATTTCAACGTTGCGATAAAAGTATTTTGAAACGCATCATTGAACTGGATTTTACATGCAAGGAAATCGATATATTTGATGCCTGTTTGACGTGGGCCAAATACGCATGCGAGAGAAACGACTTGGATGCAGCAGATGCGGTGAATCTAAGAACTCAACTCGGCGATTGTTTGAATTTAATTCGATTTGGCTTAATGATAGGCAAAGAATTCAGCAAACGTTACATGTTGCATAAGGGGCTATTCACATGGGAAGAGTTCGAAGATATTATGCTTTCATTAACAGTGGAGGAATACGAACCAAAATTTTTTAATCGAAATTCTCGATGCTACACTTGGGACACGGGTAATATTTTGCGTTGTCAGCGGAAAACCAAAATGGGTGTTGACCCAAAAAAGTACATAAACACTCAAGAAGTAACTTCGTTTTCATCGAATATTCACCTATTGCTGGGAGAAATTCAAACAGCATACGAATGCTCTGGAAATAGTTGGAACTGAGCGCGAGGACCTTACATTTCAATCAAACGATGCACCGAAGATGATTTATGAAGGCAAATCCAAAATATGGGGTGGCAATAGCAACCGACAACTGATAGTGACTTTGCCACAGCCAATTCTGATTGAACCACAAAGAATGTATGAAGTTCGTTTGGGAGTTCGATCACCCAATGGATGTTACTACTATTCAGACTGTCGGCCAATGGTGGAAATGGAAGATGGGACTAAAATTCAGTTTCATAGAAATCCAAACCTGAGCTACGATAACCTGGCGAATGGCTGGATTACTGATTTGCTTCTCAACAAAGTTTAAATCTAGAATTTGATTATGAAAACGAAACAATAAATAAACTGAAAATAACTCATTCTTTTGGAATAACAGTTCAAGCAGTGTAAATACTTTTCTTTATGGCATAACAATATAATCAACTATTGAACGTAATAAAGTTTTTGTTTTTTAGTTCTGGAAAATAAATACGAAAAAAACAGAAAAATCTCAATTTGACGAAATCCCATATACCAAATAATAAAATAATAATTATAACAACTTCATGTAATTTCATTTTCAGAATGTTAAATTTCAATGAAAAAACCACCATTTTTCGTATATAAAATTAAATCTTCATTTATTTTCCATAAAAAACTATTAAATTACTCATCAATTGTGTATCATGTATAGTGAATAACCGGTTAGTCGAAGAGAAATTTACCAAGGTCAACGTGAAACTCTCACCATCAGAGAGTGAATATTTGTTGCTGAGAAGACCTGTGCTGAGCTGAATTTGCTGACTCAGGCGTATGAAGCGATATTTTAACGCACTTATGGTGCAAAATTGCCATTCCTAGCTGGAGTCTTCGTTGTTTGCCAATTATATTCCAATTATACTAAGTAAGGAGAATTCCAGCTAGGAATAACAATTTTACACCGTAAGTGCGGTAAAATACCGCTTCAGGTGCCTGAATCAGCAAATTAAGCTCAGTTCAGGCCTTCTCAGCAGCAAATATTCATTCTCTACTCACCATATTTTCACCTTTAGTTGTTTCATTGATTTTTCGAAAGAAAAAATCTAGGAACCAATTACAAACGTTTTTGAACGATAAATAGGAGATTGAAACTCTTACGATATCAATGCAGCCGAACACAAGTATTTTTTCAATGCTCTTCGTATTCAGTTCCAATTTTCTCGGATATTGCTACATTTCTATCATAGCAGAGATGCATAATCAAGTAGAAAATCTTTTTTTTGTTGAAAGAATGCATTTATGATGCTTTGAGCTATGATTTAAAGGAAAAATCTTTTTAAAATGTATTCATTATTAAAGAGAACAACAGTGCTTACTAAGCACTGCTTAGTTCTGTGCTCAAATTGTAAACGAATCTAAGCAAAATACTTTCCAACAAACATATCTCAGGGAGGCCGCCTTATTTTTGGATGCTGCTTGAAAATGAAATACCAACCGAAATGAAATATCAAATTAAATTGTTCTGAATGGATATTTAGTTTAAAAATTTCATTTATTGCCCAGCGTTTGTTCTCAATGTGACGAAGATTACTTTAATTTTGATTAAATAAATGAAAAATCTATGAAAAACTTAATAAACAGTTTTGAAAGTATTGATTGAGTGTGATTTTTTGCTGTAGTGAAATTTAACTGTACATGAAACTTCATAAAGTCACATGAAAATATCAGAATTGCAAACAGAAACGATGATAACATTTTGAGATTGTTTGTGTCGCAAAAAACACACAACAGGGAAAAATGTATATGATACATTGTCTATATTTAAACATCATATTGCAGTTTCTTGAGTGCAGAGAGATTATCTAAAAACAAATACAGCATCCAAATCAATGTAAAACCAATATGAAATAAAATTCATTTCTTCACTTAATTTAAATGAAAATGAGACAGAATCATTAGATTAATATTGTATGAAAAACGTTTTTTAAGAGGAATCCATATTACGTATTCAAACGGTAAGGAAATCATACACCGCAAAACTAATTGAAATGTCATTATTGAAATGCTCGCAATCGGAATTCAGAAGAAAGTATTAGAAGTTTTGAATTGTCAAAAGGGACATGAGCAATTCGCCCGGTTCACATACATACATTCACAAATGTAATTAGTCTCTTCTGCATGCGATGTAATCGGCTTAGTTTTGCCTGTGTTTGCTTTGTTTTTTCTTCATTGTATTGTGCTCTTTCATCCTATACACAATAAGTGACAGTTTGGATCGAAAGCCGGTGCACACATAGAAATCTTTAGACGAACACCTATTTACATATTCACTTCACATTTGTTTGATGTTAGAACAGTTCATTGGTTCTTCAACTTGTGAACAAAAACTGTCCTAAAGAAGAAGAAAGAACAAGTGCGAAAATATTATTTCAAAAATTATAAATGCTCACCTTCAAACAATAAAACACGAAGAATTTCATTTTTGATTCATTTTATTTTCAGTCATTGAAATGTCCAGCGTATTAAAAAATACCGCTGCATTCAAAGCGTGTGAAAAGTTGTATCTTAACGAAGAATTTGCGGATGTGTATTTACAGATTTACATTTTCGATATGTTATCAATATGTTATTGCCCGACATATTTATTATTATGTTATGTTGGGATTTTTTTTATCTTAATAACGTTATTAAGATTCAGCATAATAATAACATAATATGTTATGCGTTATATCGGGTGTTATCTTAATAAATCCTAAGATTCGGCGGTAATAACATTTTATTAACTATAATAATAACATATTATTAAGATGCAATCTTAATAACGCTTTTTTCGCGCATTCTTTTCCCTAGCTGGAAAAAAAGCACTGTACGATGTACACACCTATAACAATGCAGACAAAATATGGTAAATTGATCCTTTCAAGGTCGGGACTGGCGATTTCCTAAACTCAATGGTTAAGTTCAATACACGATAATTCCGTTTCAAAGAGTCATTTTAATTTCTTTGCAACAGTGCAAAAAATTCATGTGTGTACTCCGCAGAGAAAAAACAACTTGTCAGTGCTCCGGCGAAAAAAATGCGCGAAAAAAGCGTTATTAAGATTGCATCTTAATAATATGTCATTAATTGAGTTAATAAATCCATCTTAATAATATGTTATTATTATAGTTAATAAAATGTTATTACCGCCGAATCTTAGGATTTATTAAGATAACACCCGATATAACGCATAACATATTATGTTATTATTATGCTGAATCTTAATAACGTTATTATTATGTTATGTTGGACCAATATATCGGCCGTTATTATTATGTTATTAAGTATAGTTAATAATATGTTATTGCCTGTAAATCTGTATGTGTATTTTGTGTTCAACGTGAATGGTGGCATTCAGAAAATTCCAGCGAATAAACTGACATTGGCTATTCTCAGTCCCGTATTCAAAACAATGTTGGGGGGGAAGCGAAGTTCGAATTGAAGATGCGGATGCCGATGCGTTCAAGGAGTTTCTCCAGTTTTTCTATCTGGGTGAGGTGACATTAACCATGGAAAACATCGAGACCGTTGTTCGTTTGGCTGACAAATACGATGTCCTCAAATATGTCAACGTTTCTACCCTGTTTCTAAAGGGCCAACTAACATTGGACAAAATGTGCTGGGGCTATCAGTTGGCCGTAAATCTCAAGAACAAAGACCTGATCGAGTTTTGTGAGGACAAAATCGAAAAGAGACCCAAGGAAGTTTTTGCTACCGACGCATTTAAACGCTGTGACAAAGGTATTCTCCAACGAATTTTGGAGCTGGATTTAGTTTGCAAAGAAGTCGATGTGTTCGATGCATGTGTGACGTGGGCCAAATACGCATGCGAACAAGACGACTTGAATGCAATGCAAGTGGAGAATTTGAGAACTCAGCTCGGCGATTGTTTGCAGCTAATTCGTTTTGGCCTCATGAAAATTGAAGAATTTAGCAAATGTTACGTGTTACATAAAGGATTGTTTACCTCGGAAGAGTTCGAAGATGTTATGCTTTCATTCACAATGAAGGAATATAAACCGAAAATGTTCAATCCAAGGAGCAGGATTCACAATGTAACATGGGATAATCGTAATGTTATGGAATGTCTGCGGAAAACCAACTGTCCAAAACCGAAAAAGTACATTAAACTTCAAGAAGTAACTTCGTTTTCAGCGAATAATCACCTGATGTTAGGAGAAATTCAAACTGCATGCACATACATTGGTTCATCTGAAATAGTCGGATCTGAAGTCGGAGTAACTATCACCGAATGCGAGGGCCTTACATGTCAATCAACTGTGTTGCCAACAGTTCTTTATAAAGGAACATCTAAAGTATGGTTTGGATATGATATGGATCGTCTGAAAGTGACTTTGCCACAGCCAATTCGGATTAAGCCTCAGTTTATGTATGAAGTTCGTTTGGTAGTTCGATCACCCAATGGATGCTACTACTACTCAGACTGCCGGCCAATCGTGGAAATGAAGAACGGAACTAACATTCAATTTCATCGACATCCGAACCTGGGCTACGATAACCTTGCGAATGGCTGGATTTCTCATTTACTCTTTAACAAAATTTGAATTTGGATTTAAAATATGATAAAAAAAATTAATCAATTTTGAAAAATAGTTTAGTCCAATGAATAAAATACCAGTTCAAACAGTGTTACTTTTTCCTGTGGTATAACAATAAAGTCTGTAATTTGATCGAACCTAAAAAAATATTTTTTTTTCTATTTTAACTGTTTCGCATAATTAATCATTTTGTTTTTCAGAAAGCAAATTTTCATCGAAATAAGAAATTAGAAAATCACGATTTTCGTATATTCAAATTAAATATTTATCGATTTTGTATGGAATTGGCGCCTCTAAACCTATTTTTTAGAAATAATATTCATTATTTTCCTTCAAAAACCTAGATATGTGTTAATAAATCCTTCATCAATTGAGTATGGTCTAATCTATCACTGTTTCAATACGTGTATGATTTCTACAGTGATAGAAAAACGATCGCGTAAAGTTTAATCTTCGAAGTTTCGTGAAAACCTTAGTACATTTCATTAAAAATTGTGGCGTTTGATTTGGTCGCACTGAAATAAAAATTAGCAAATGAGTCGAAATATATATTAATCGCAATTTCAAATTTTAAACATTTATTTTGTCATAAGATTGACATTCAGTTCCAATTATTTTAACTATTGTCAATTTTTTTTATCATTGTATATGTTCTCTACGAGAACACCTTGATACTGCCCACATTAATGATGAAATTTCGATTTTCATGTTGCCGTTAAACCCGATCCATGATCCCAAGCGGACGAATTCATCAAGGACAAAGCATACTGCCCGGTTGCCATTTGGGTTGCTTCTGATTGCAACAAACATGAGCGGGGCTGTCCCAGGTTCCAACCACCCACGTGGAATTCAACTCATCTCACACGGATCACACAGCAAAATCAATATCAAAAGACTGACGAATTTTTCCATACATTCTTCTATGTGTATTGAAAAGATGATACTTATCTGTGATGTTTACACTTATTTATTGTTAACTCAAATTACAAGCGATTTCAGGCAAAATACCACGCAAATGGATCATACATATATCAAGAGACCGTTTCATATTTGGATGCTGTTTAAAATATTGAACGAAGTTGATCTGAATGGAGATTTAGTTTGAAGATTTTATTTATTGACCACCATTCGTTTTTAATGCGATGAATATTATTTCTATTTTGATTGGATAAATGGAAGATCGATAAAAGAGTGAAAAAAATCATTTCGAATTTGTTGATCCAGTGCAGTTGATTTAATTTTTTGCTGTATTGAAATTAATTTGCAGTTTATCCACAAAGTCATGTTTAAAATGCTTGTGGCGCAAAAAATTCACTCAGTATAGAGAAATATGGATACGAAACATTGTGTTTGCTCAAACATCATATTGCACTATCTTGAGTGTCGCTTATCGTATCGTCTTTTTTTTGTTTATCACACATACACGAACAATGAACATTTGCTGATCGGAAGAAAGTGAGAATAAAACAAGACCGCAGAGCTTCGCTTCGCACATCAGATTGAATACTGTTGAAAAGTAACGCTGCATCGGAATCGATCGCAAAGATGTATCTCAACGAGAGATTGGCCGACGTTTATTTCGAATTCAAAGTCGATGACGAAACTCAAAAGGTTCCAGCAAACAAAAGTGTGTTGGCAGCTCTAAGCCCGGTATTTGATACGATGTTCATCGGGTCGTTGCCAGAGAAAGGAGATGTTTCCATACCCGATGCTAATGCCGATGCGTTCAAGGAATTTCTTCAGTTGTTCTACCTGGGCGAGGTGACTCTGACCATGGAAAATATCGAAACCGTTGTTCGTTTGGCCGACAAATATGACGTCGTTGAACGTGTCAACGCTTGTATCGTGTTTCTCAAAGGCCAACTGACATTGGATATATCCATAATATATATTATGTGCTGGGGCTATCAGTTAGCTGTGAATCTCAAAAATGCAGAATTGATCGAATATTTTGAGGAGAAAATCATCAAATCGCCGAAAGAAGTCTTTGCCAGTGAAGTATTTAAGCGCTGTGACAAAAGTATTTTGAAGCGAATTTTCGAGCTGGATTTGATTTGCAAGGAAACCGATGTATTTGATGCATGTTTGAAGTGGGCCAAATATGCGTGCGAACAAAACGATTTGGATGGAACACAAGCGGTGAATCTGAGAACTCAACTCGGCAATTGCTTGAAGTTAATTCAATTTGGCCTCATGAAAATTGAAGAATTTAATAAACGTTACGTATTGCATAAAGGGATGGGCTATTTACAATGGAAGAGCTTGAAGATATTATGCTTTCATTGACTCTAGATGAATACGAACCGCTTATATACAATCGAAATTCCCGGAACTACACATGGGATGCGGCTAATGTATTGCAATGTATTGCAATGTCAGCGGAAAACTTCAGGTAAATTAGAAATGCCCATTAGAACTCAAGAAGTAACTTCGTTCGCATCAAATAATCACCTACTGTTGGGAGAGATTCAAGCTGCACGCACATACATTGGTTCATCTGAAATAGTCGGAACTGAGGTTGAAGTAACTATCACCGAGTGTGGGAACCCAGCATTCGCATCAATCGAGTCATCAAAAATTCTTTATGAAGGCACATCTAGTACATGGTATGGCGACGATCAGCTGAAAGTGACTTTGCCACAGCCAATTTTGATCAAACCACAAAGAATGTATGAAGTTCGTTTGGTTGTTCGATCACCCAATGGATACACCTATTTCCCAGACTGTCAGCCAATGGTGGAGATGAAAGACGGAACTAAAATTCAATTGTATAGAAATCCAACTCTGGACTATGATAACCTCGCAAATGGCTGGATTTCCAATTTGATCTTCAACAAAATTTAAATTAGGAATGAAAAAGAACAAATAAATGAAATATGAAAATAGTGCATCATAATAAATATTTGGTTTATCAATCAATGAAATAAAAATATTCTCACTCTTCACCAACAATAAATTCAATCGACATTGAAAAAAGTCATTGATAGTCGAGAGTATATTTATATAGAAGTTTCATAGTTCAGCGTTCTACATCAAGATGTCACTTAAATATTGCATAAATGTGTGCTTCATATAAAAACATAGGCACATTTTGTCATTGTAGTTGCATTCCCTATGTGAAAAAAATGCGAAGAAAAACCGGAATAAATCGGAGAAGTTCCAAAAATCGTATCTTATTCATGTGCTTTCTATATTTTATCGTTCATAACGTGAGCCACATTTGGTTTATTAAAATAAACATTCAATAGATGTTGTTCATTTCCGTTTCAATAAAAAAACAAACCCACAATTCTATGGGTGAGATTGAGAGTAGTGTATGTTTCATTGACTTTGTTACGAAAGAGAAGAGCAAGTTTCTGTCGACTTAAAAATGGTTAAAGGCGAGTATGTTCGTTTTTAGCGGGTCCTCGCGGTTTTTCACAATTTCCGCGGAACTGATAAGAGATAACAACTTGGTGTCTTCGGCAAAGTTGTAGCACTTGAGGTCTTCTATAACATTGCTGAAGTTATTGCTCGGTTATCTCTTATCTCTTATCAGTTCCGCGAAAAGCGCGAAAAATGATAAGAAAAAAAAGTTCTATATAAAATTTGCTTTTTTATGTGCGCGATTGGCGCGCAACTGATAAGAGATAAGAGATAACTGTCTTCAGCTTAGTTATAGAAGACCTCAAGTACTACAACTTTGCCGAAGACACCATGTTGTTATCTTTTATCAGTTGCGCGAAAACCATGAAGACCACGGAGGCTAGACGGTACTACAACATACTCTACTTTAACGCCAACAGAATCATCAGAAAACATACTCGCCTTTTCAAAAATATAAATCGAAGAAAAAACATACTCCACTCTCAATCTCACCCATAGAATTTATCTTTGATCATTTTATTTTTCAGGAAAACATTTCTGATGAAATGAGAAATCACAATTTTTGCATAATTCAATTAAATCTCAATAGATTTTGTATGAAAATGACGCCTGTAGTAAGTCTCATAGAAAAAATAATATTTATTTTCTTTCAAAATGCGTGTAGCGATAAATCACTCATCGTCTGCATTCTAATCGAATTATCGGTTCTAATACGTTTATGATTTCTGTTTCGGAAGGACGCATCGATCACGAAAATTTTGAACTTTTTGCTCGCCTACATCGAAGAGAAATTTTTCGTGATCAGCTTGCAAGTCTCAGCACACTTACATCCTTTGCTATTTGATTGATTCTTTGAATGAAAAACATAAAAAATACGCTACACTCAGCGTTTGACATAAATGGTTTAATCCCGCTGAAAATGTGCAAATGAGTGGTGATTTTCCAAATTCAAACTTCATTGATAGGAAGTCGCTTGTTGAATTTGTGAAAGATATAAATGCAGCCAAAGTTTGGCTCCAAACACAAGTATTCTTTTAAAAGCTGTTGATTTTCAATTCCAATTATCTCGAATATCGTTACTCCCCTATTACAGCTCAGCTATGTCTAATCAAGTAGGGAAACTGTTTTGAATGAATGTGCTTATGAAGAGTTCAATTTTTCCAATAATTTTGAAATATCCGTGAGCTATGATTTAATAGAAAAACATCTTACTATTGTGTCGATTATCAGAGGAAACGGCGGTGCTTCATTTTTTTGCTCAAGTTGCAAAAGAATTCAATCAAAATACTTCCCAAATGAAGCAAACATATCTCGGGAAGGCCGTATTCTATTTGGATCCTGTTTGAAATATCCAACAAAGTTGTTTTGTATGGAGATTCAGTTTGAAGATTTCGTTTATAGACCAGCATTCAATTGTAATATGAATTTCTAGTTTGATTGAATAAATGGATGTTTGTGATACCTGGATAGACGTTGGCGTCAAAAGGCACGCACAGTACATAAGAGCTAATGCAAAAGTCAATTGATGCGCATAAGTAGCGCCATCTCTAATGATTACGGAGAGTTATCATAAGTCGTATGCAATTGATGTTGAGAAAAAGAACAAGAAGAAACAGGCATTCTATTCATTTACATTGCAATAATGGCAATCAGTAGAGATGGTGCTCGTGTGCCGATCATATCACTGTTACAACCCTTCGGTTGGCGTATTCTTCATTCCAAATACATGCTCCACTTTTTCCACCCGGCATTTTCACTTTTTGTTTTTGTTTCTGTTTTAATCCGATCGTGACGACAACCAAATGCAAACTGATATGCATTTGTTTGCGACGTCGATCTACTCATATTGCTAATTGTTTATAGTAATTACACAAACACCAATATTGAACACAATATCGAAGTCGTCAATCATTTTCTTATGTTTGAAGTGTCAATGAATGAATTAATTACATTTGAGTACAGCATTTTGAATTTTGATTAAACGGTTTCAAATACTGTTCGGAATAGACTGAGACAATTATCATTTTCGGAAGAAAAAAGAATATTGCATTTATGATTCTGGAAAAATGAGAAAATAATGAATTTTTTTGAAAAACAAGAGCGAAATTCGAATCTATTCCTTTGAAAAGTCCGGGCGAAATCCGGGTAAATTTGGCAATATCCAGGCATCCGGGCCGGGCGATTTTTTGGCCGGGTTTCGCCATGAAAATCCGGGCAAATCCGGTTTTATCCGGGCGATCCGAGATGCTTAAATAGAATCGTTAGATCAATACGCATTGAATTTTGATAGTTTAAACATATATCAAAAACATTATTCATAACATTGCATCCATATCTAATGGAACTGATTTAATGCATTCAGTTTTTGGAATGTAAAATAATAATACATTGCATTGAAATATAGTTACTGACATGCAATTCAAAATACAGAAAAAAGAATCAGAAGTTTGATGTGTCAAAAGACACACAACCGATTCGCCCCGTTCACATAGACACATTCACAAATGTAATTAGTCGCATCTGCATGCGATTTTACCAGCAGTGATTTGCATGTGTTTGCTTTGCTGTTCATGCTGTCTCTTTTTCGCTATATGCACACCAAATGACAGATTGGACTGAAAGCCGGTACACAAATACATACGCACATACGGATTTTCGAACGCCAATTCGCTTATTCATTTCTGAGCGATACAATTTTCACTGAAATTAGAACAGCTCATTCCTTCAACAACGTTTGTGTGAACAATAACTGTCATTCTTATAAAACACGTTTGCGAAAATATTCATATTCATTTTCAAATACCGAAATAATTGAGCAGAAACGAAGAATTTTACCTCAATTTTCAATTTATTTTGTTTACAATCGTTAAAATGGCCTGTGCATTGAAGAATACCGCTGCTTTCGAAGGGTGTGAAAAACTATATCTCAACGAAGATTTTGCTGACGTTAATTTCGTGTTCAACGTTTATGACGAGTGTGAAAAGGTTCCGGCAAACAAAGCCAATTTAGCTGTTCTCAGCCCAGTGTTCAAAACGATGTTCTTTGGGTCGTTGCCAGAGAAAGGAGACGTTCCCATCCCCGATGCGGATGTCGATGCGTTCAAGGAGTTTCTGCAGATTTTCTACCTGGGTAAAGTGAGTTTGACCATGGAAAATATCGAGACCGTTGTTCATTTGGCCGACAAATACGATGTCCTCGAACATGTCAACGCTTGCGCCGTGTTTCCTAAAGGCCAACTAACATTGGATAACATGTGCTGGGGCTATCAGTTGGCCGTTAATCTCAAACACAAAGACCTGATTGAGTTCTGTGAGGACCAAATCGCCAAGTCGCCGAAGGAAGTCTTCACCACCGATGCATTTCAACGCTGCGGAAAAAGCACTTTAAAGCGAATTTTGGAGCTGGGTTTGATCTGCGACGAAACCGATATATTTGATGCCTGTTTGACGTGGGCCAAATACGCATGCGAGAGAAACGATTTGGATGTAGCAGATGCGGTGAATTTGAGAACTCAACTCGGCGATTGTTTGAATTTAATTCGATTTGGCTTGATGAAAATTGGAGAATTTAGCAAAATTTACATGTTGCATAAAGGACTATTCACGTCTGAGGAATTTGAAGATATTATTCTTATATTGACGTCACCGGAATATGAACCAAAAATATTCAGTCGAATTTCAAGACGTCTTCATATGGGATCCAACTAATGTTTGGAAGTGTTGGCGGAAAACTGACGACCCAAATCCAGAAAAATACATAAAAACAGAAGAAGTAGCTTCCATTTCATCAAACAAACACCTTTTATTAGGAGAAATTCACACTGCAATAACATGGAATAGTTCATCTAACATAGCTGGAACTGAGGTCGAAGTAACGATCACCGAGCACGATGACCTTGCATTTCAATCAACTGTGTCGCCAACCGTTCTTTATCAAGGAACGTCTAAGACATGGAGTCACATCAATGTGCTAAAAGTGACGTTGCCACAGCCAATTTTGATCAGGCCTCAACATATGTATGAAATTCGTTTGGGAGTTCGATCACCCGATAGATGCTTCTACTACTCAAACTGTAAGCCAATGGTGGAAATGGAAGACGGAATAAAAATTCAATTTCATCAAAATCCACATCTGGACTACGATAACCTTGCAAATGGCTGGATTTCTTATTTCAGGTTCAACAAAGTTTAAATTTGAATGAAGAATATGAAGAAAAATAAACGATTTAATTTTGAAAAAAAGTTCAGTCGAATAAATCAAATATCAGTTTGATCAGTCGAAATGCTCTACCTTGTGGCAAATAAAATCATTTATTAAATCGAATCAAAACCGTAAGAGTTTTTTTCTATTTCATCCGTAAATAAACAACCGTGGTTGTGATAATTGGTCATTTTGTTTTTCAGAAATTCAATTTTCATGGAAATGAGAAATTAGAAAATTACCATTTTCGTATGCTAAAATTAAATATTCATCGATTTTGTATGGTCTAATCTATGATTTCTACAATGAAAGAAAAACGATGGTAAATTTTGAACTCATTGCTTCTTCAATTTGCAGAGAAAGTGATCGAAATATACGTAGAAATCTCAGTACATTTTATTAAAATTAAAAAACAAACAGAGTTCCATTTAACACCTGGCCTATAATGTGATTACACAAAAATTTCCAAACGAGTCAAAATTCATCAATAGCAAATCCGTAATTAAAAACATTTATTTTATCATAAGACTGACATTCATTTCCAATTATTTCAACGAATTGTCTTTTTTTACCATAATTCACATTGCAAAAGATGTGAAATTGAACGGACCTTCTGTTTTGAATTAATGTTTCTATGAAGCTATGGGCTATGATCAAATGGAAAAATCTTATTCAAATTTGTCGGTTATTAAACGGTTCCGACGGTGCTTTATTTTTTGCTCAAGTTGCAAGCGAATTCAAGCAAAATACTTCCGATGTTTGTTGCATTGCATATCTCAGGAGGCCATCTTATATTTGGACGCTATTTGAAATAACAAACAAAATTTATCTGAATGGAGATTTAGTTTGAAAGATTTTATTTATTGACCACCATTCATTTTTAATGCGATGAATATTACTTTTATTTTTTTAAATAAATGGAACATCGATAAAAAAGAGGAAAAAATCTTTTCCGAATTCGTTGATCCAGTGCTATTGATTTAATTTTTTGCTGTATTGAAATTAATTTGCAGTTCATCCACAAAGTCATGTTTAAAATGCTTGTGGCGCAAAAAGTTCACTCCAACACACAGCATATAAGTATAGAGAAATATGGATACGAAACATTGTGTTTGCTCAAATATTGCACTATCTTGAGTGTCGCTTATCGTATCGTCTGTCTTTTTTGTTTATCACACATACACGAACAATGAACAATGAACATTTGCTGATCGGAAGAAAGTGAGAATAAAAAAAGAACAAAAATGCGCACACAGCTAAAGGGCAAGTTTGGTTTCATCGCTTATTTTATGTCATTAGCAATATCGTACACGCTCACACACTTGTGTCGCTTTGCGTTCATTTGTTTCTCCTTCGCTTTGTAAGCTATTGTGTTCACTGTTCACCACTACATTTCAACATTTTTGCTGGAGCAAATAAACACACACTTTGGACGCTGTCAGTTCGCGCCTCTATGTATCAGTGTGTCAAATCTTTTCATTACTTGTCAAACTTTCAAGACAACAGTTCACTTTTTTTCAAGTGTCGCATAAAACATTCGTTTTGAGAACATAAACAAAATAAAATTTTATTTTTCTTGTGCATTAGCGTCCGTACTCTTTCTCTAGTTACATTAGATTTAATACTGTTGAAATGGCAAACGTGTTGAAAAATACCGCTGCATCGGAGTTGATCGCAAAGATGTATCTCAACGAGCGATTGGCCGACGTTCATTTCAAGTTCAAAGTCGATGACGAAACTCAAAAGGTTCCAGCAAACAAAAGTGTGTTGGCAGCTCTGAGCCCGGTATTTGATAGAATGTTCTTTGGATCGTTGCCAGACGTTCCCATTCCCGATGCAGATGCCGGTGCATTCAAGGAATTTCTCCAGTTGTTCTACCTGAGTGAGGTGACATTGACCATGGAGAATATCGAGACCGTTGTTCGTTTGGCCGACAAATACGATGTCCTCGAAAATGTCAACGCTTTTGCCGTGTTTCTCAAAGGCCAACTGACATTGGATAACATGTGCTGGGGCTATCAGTTGGCCGTTAATCTCCAAAATGAAGAATTAGTCGAGTTCTGTGGGGACAAAATTTCCAGATCGCCAAAGAAAATCTTTGCTACCGATGCATTTCAACGTTGCGATAAAAGTATTTTGAAACGCATCATGGAACTGGATTTGACATGCAAGGAAACAAACGTTTTCGATGCCTGTTTGAAGTGGGCCAAACACGCATGCGAAGAAGACGATATGGATGCCACAAAAGCGGAGAATTTGAGAACTCAACTCGGTGATTGCTTGAAGCTTATTCGATTTGGGTTAATGGAAAGCGAAGAATTCTCTGAATGTTATATGTTGAACAAAGGACTTCTCACATCGGAAGAATTCGAAGATATTATGCTTTCTTTATCAGCAAAGGAGTACAAAGCGAAAATATTCAATAACAATCCTCGATGCTTCACATTTAATGAAAATGACACTTTGGTGTGTCAACGACAAGCTGTGAATACACCAACAAACTACCTCACGGGCTCAGAAGTCGTTTGGTTCACAACAAATCAAACAGTATTATTGGGAGAAATGTGCTCTGCTCCGACAGGCAATATGCATTGTATCAATCAACAGAAAGATGCTGTGAACGCAACAATTGCAGAAATCAACAGCGATTTTTCGAAGAAGGTTTTGTACGAAGGCTCATCAAAAACTTGGGATATAGATGAATTAAAAGTGTCTTTATTGCAACCGATTACGATCAAACCACATGTTATGTATGAAATTCGTTTTGCAGTGCTCATGGGAGTTGGAAATTCGTATTACAAAGCAACGTGGAAACCAACAGTTGAAGTAGAAGATGGTCTGACGTTCCAATTTCATCGATGCCCATCTCATACAAGCTATGACACTTCTACATCTGGTTGGATTCAGTCTTTAGGCGTCAACAGGCTATAACATGATATTGTTTGAACATGAAAAAACAAACACGACATCCAATTCCATGTAAAATCAAAATAAAATTCATTTCTTTGCTTAATTAAAATAAAATTGAGACAGAATTGTCGGAGTAATTCGCATTGAGTTTTAATTGTTTTTATATCAAAAGGGTTATTCGTATGGATTCAATAGAATTGATGAAGTACGTTCAATCTTCACGAGTTCAATTTAGCTGTTCTCAGCCCAGTGTTCAGAAAAATGTTCTTCGGATTGTTGCCAGAGAAAGGCGATGTTGAGATCGTCGATGCAGATGACAAAGCATTCAAGGAGATTCTCTAGTTCTTCTATTTGAGTGAGGTGTCATTAACCATGGAAAATATCGAGACTGTTGTTCGTTTGGCCGACAAGTACGATGTCCTCGAATATGTCAACGCGTGTGCCGTATTTCCCAAAAGACAACTGACACTGGATAACAGGTTCTGGGTTTATCAATTGGCAATGAATCTCAAAAATGATGGATTAATCGAGTTCTGTGAGGGCAAAATCATCAATTCGCCGAAAGGTGTTTTTGCTGCCGAGGCATTCAAACGCTGCAACAGAAGTATTTTGAAGCGAATTCTGGAGCTGGATTTAGTTTGCACAGAAGCCGATGTATTTGATGCCTGTTTGACGTGGACCAAATACGCATGCGAACAAAATGATTTGGATGCAACAGAAGCCGTGAATTTGAGAACTCAACTCGGCGATTGCTTTAAGCTAATTCGATTCGGTGCAATGGCAAGCGATGAATTTTACAAACGGTATATGTCATTTAAGGGACTATTCACTGGAAGGATTCGAAGATATTATGTTTTCATTATCAGTAAGGGGATACGAACCGAAATGATTCAGTCGAATTTCAAGACTCAGGGTCTTCATATGGGATGCGAATAATGTTCTGGAATGTCAGCGGAATATTACACAGCGCAGAGACAGACTGGCCTGCGAAATCTAGAAGTAATTTCGTTTTCATCGAATAATCACGTACTGTTGGGAGAAATTCACACTGCGAGCGCATGGAATGGTTCGTTTAAAATATCTGGAACTGAGGTTGAAGTAACGATCACCGAGCACGATGATCTTGCTTTTCAATCAACTGTGTCGCCAAAAGTTCTTCGCGTCAATGCACATCTAAGACTTGGGTTGGCTTTTTAAACACGCTACTTAAAGTGTTTTTCCCAAGCCAATTCCGATAAGGCCTCAACGTATGTATGAAGTTCGTTTGGGAGTTCGTTCTTTCGATGGATGCCACTGATACTCAGATTGTAAACCGATGGTGGAAATGAAAGACGGGACTAAAATTCAATTTCATCGAAATCCAACCCTGACCTACGATAACCTTGCGAATAGCTGGATTTCTGATTTGATCTTCAACAGAATTTAAATTTGAATTTAGAATATGGCAAAAGAAACAGCAAATAAATGAATTATGAAAAACAGTTCATCCCAATGAATTCAGTACCAGTTTAAGCAATAAAATTCTTTCTTTTTGCGAAACAATAAAGTCAATTTCAGACCCAACCCAAAAACTAAGGATTTTTTCCAACTTTATTTAGTTATGCGAAATAATTGCTAAGAAAAACAAAAAAAAAACACAAAAATTCCATGAACACATGACTATGACATTTCCATATTCCAGTATATTTCGCCGCAACGTCATGGCATTCAATATGACTTTGAAGTTTTATTCAATTGTGTTTTAGCAAACATTCTCTGTTTTTGATTTAAAAACAATTGTGCATTTCCACCTGGAAAAAAGTAAGTACTCCAAATAATTACCGTTACAGCGTTTATTGTGTTAAAAGTATCTCTTGAAAAAAGTGTGTTTAGTGTTTCTTATGTGATTTTAAATAAAATCAAGCAAAATAACCTGAACTGGCGCAAGAGTTGTCGTAGATTATCATTTTAGAGAAAGTTCGGACCAATTGAAATCTCTCTCAACACTACACGTTCCTTTGCTCTCTTTCTTCATCAAACTAACAAAATTGGAACAATAATAATTTGGCCAATTTATTTAATTTTTTTTCGTTGAATTTCATTTGAAATATCATGTATTTGTTAGTTTGATGATGAAAGAGAGAAATGGAACCTGTAGTGTTGAGACAGATTCCAATTAATCCGTACTTTTTCTAAAACGATGATCAATGGTGGTCGAAATACCAAATCGATATCACTGTTGTAGTTTTTGACACGAAAAAATTTGTTCAACGGTATAACCGGCCTAGTCGTCTCGAGACGGGTCTCCTGATTACAACGGTACTCAACATTGTGCCAGATCTGGGTTCCAAAATCTGGATTTTTTGCCCTCTTTTCGATTTTTCTTCAAATGCTCGATTTTGAGCCATTTTCAGCGTGATTTCGAAAATTAAAATTAAACTAAAAATTCCGCGAATGAATTAATTGCTCATTGATTATAGTTTTAGAAAAATATACGGGCCGGTACGGACCAATTGAAATGTTTTCATTAATTGTCAAATCAGTGTACTAAATTATAGTCAAAAATGTTCAGTTTTTTTATTTATTCATTTTTTTAATAATTCAATGTTCAGTTTTGTTTTTCATCACACACGGAAGATTCTGATGAAAAATATAAATTAATTTTTTCATAGAATACATTTTTATTGGACAGTTGAAATATGTTATCTGACGTCGCCATCTATTGTTCGGTTAACATACTATAGTACTAAACCAAAGTTCTAAATGATACGGAATTTTGTGCTGAGCTGGGGGAAACTCTTTATGGTTAATTTTCTGAAGGTGTTGAAAATGGCAAAAAAAATTGCTGCAGGTTGAGAATCTTCAAAAATAGCATAATACGTGCGAATAAACGATATGAATGTGATATATTTTCAATGTTATGAGAATTTTATTGTTTCATAATGCATCAACAATAAATTTGGATGTCAAAAGATACTCTTAGTAAGCACCAGAATCGATCTTCCTTATTCGAGTCGGTATGTTCGTTTTCGAAATAAAACTTAATAAATTTCCAGAAAAAAAACACTAAAATGACTTATATGCACTTCAACGATGATTCAGTGATGATTTACAAACGAAATCAATACTTAAATCGTTTTTATGCATAAATTGCTAAAATTTACCTATTCTCAACCTGCAGCAAAGTCACTTTCTCAATCTTCAGTTTTATAGACATTTTTTCCGAGACTCACAATTTTTTTAAAAACCATAAAATGCACATAATTCATATTGAATCGTAAGGAGAAATGAAAATACTATAAGAAAATGCTTACCCGACTCCTTTTTCAATGCTATATAGTCAATTTATAACTATCGGCAAGAAATAAAATGAAATGTTTTCGCACAAAAATTCACGGTAGTTTTGGAAGTGTATCAAAACAAACGTCAGTTCTGTCGAAACAAGTCTTAAAAGTGATCATGCATTAAAATAAGACTTTGACAGTTATTGCGATGGCAGTATTATCACGTATAGTGGAAAAAGTAACGATTCTCAACCTGCAGCAACGTCCCAGTTGGTGCTCTATATACATGAAGTGGGATTTCGTATGTAATTATCACTTTACGTGCATAAATCTTCAGTGGATTATAATCAAGAAAAAGAATTCTTCCTGCATTGACGTCTGACGCTGTATCAAGAAAAATTGAACCCACCCGCGTAGACTCTATACTCCAGACTGAACCAAATTCTTCTTTCACTTGGAAGTGAACAAGAGCAACCAACCAACACTGCAACCAACACTGTTCAAACCAGATTGAAATTTAAATTATTTTTTATGATTTATTCTGTATAATTTATTTTCATTCTTGGATTTTACCTACGGCATATGACTCATACAAATCGCGTTCAAATTTAGCACGGATGCACGTTAAGGTCACAAAAATTTAGAAAAATTCTAATTCATACCAATACCTATATCGTAAGCAATTAAAAGACTAATTACTTGAGCTGCTTTTTGACAGAATATTAGTCGATGGTCCAACAAAGCAACAATATTGGTTGGTATGGTCATAGATTGACAAAAAAATGTTTTGAAATTAATTCTACACTACAATCGAAAAAGGGAATCGAAGGAAATCATCCGATTATTCAGCAAAATTGGTTCAGCTATTCGTCATCTGAAAAATACACATCGATCAGAAAGATCAAACCAATTTCTTATTTTGTGAAAATATATGCAACATTACCATTGTTTGTATCCAATTGAATCTATTCCAATTGCTCTGCAATATTAATTTTGTTTCCTTTACCGATAAAAAGTTTGGCGACCTCATTGTGACCTAAAAATAATACAGATCAATGAAAAAGATCAAATCGATATCTTATTTAGTCAGCTTTACCATTGTTAATAGCTACTTGGAGAGGAGTCTGATTCGAATTATTTTTAACATTAACATTTGCTCCTTTACGGATGAGAAGTTCAGCGACACTTATTTGACCTAAAAAGTAATTTAGATGGATGAAAAAGATCAAATCAATCTTCTTTTAGTAAAGACAAGTATTCAACTATTACCATGCTGAGCAGCTAAATGAAGAGGTGTGTCTTTCGCAGTATTTTGACTATTAACATTGGCTCCTTTACTAATGAGAAATTCGGCAACATTCTTGCGACCTGAAAAATAATACAGATCGATGAAAAAAATAAAACCGTTTTCCTATTTAGTGAGAAAAAATAATCAACATTACCATACATAGCAGCTAAATGAAGGGGCGTATTATTAAAATGATTTTTCATTTCATAATTAGCTCCTTTGCTGAGTAGAAGTTCAGCGACATTCTTATGACCTAAAAAATAATTTTGATCGATGAATAAGATCAAATCAATCTTTTATTTAGTGAAACTCATAAAATCTCGTACAAAGCTTTTTTAAGGTGTAGAAATGATTATGGACACCATTCCGGAGCACAGCGATCGTGCAATGTGTAAGCTATGTGTACACGATTTATGGTGTGACCGAAAAACCCGATATGCAATTGAATCCCACCATATCGTGTGAACGCTTACCGTACGTCCAATTACTGAGTGTATGTGTGAGTACAGCCAGCACTCACACGATATGGTGTGATTCAATTGCTCATCGGTTTTTTTCGGCCTACCATAAATCATGTACACATAGCTTACACATTACATGATTGCTGTGCTCGGGAAAGGTGTCACGAGATTTTATGAGAAGTATTCAAAATTACCATTGAGAGCAGCTGAATGAAGAGGTGTCGCATGGCGATCATCCTGACTATCAACAATGGTTGTCTTACGGAGCAGCAGTTCAGCAACATTCTTGTGACCTGAAAAATAATACAGATCGATGAAAAAAGAGATCAATTCAATCTTCTATTCAATGAAAACCAATATTCAACATTACCATTGAAAGCGGCAATATGAAGAGGTGTCGCATGTTGATTATTCTCACTATCAACAATGGCTCCTTTACGGATGAGCAGTTCAGCAACATTCTTGTGACCTGAAAAACAATTTTGACCGATAAATACTAAGATCAAATCAATCTTTTATTTAGTGTAAACAACTCATAAAATCTCGTAGGAAGCATTTTTAAGGTGTAGAAACGTATATGGACATGGACACCATTCCGGAGCACAGCAATCGTGTAATGTGTAAGCTATATGTACAAGATTTATGGTGTGGTCGGATAACCCGATATGCAATTGAATCCCACCATATCGTGTGAACTCCTACCATAAATAATGTACACATTGCTTACACATTACACGATTGCTGTGCTCGGGAATGGTGTCACGAGATTTTATGAGAAGTATTCAAAATTACCATTGAAAGCAGCTGAATGAAGAGGTGTGTCTTTCGCAGTATTTTCACTATCAACAATGGCTCCTTTTTGGATGAGAAGTTCAGCAACACTCTTGTGACCTGAGAAATAACACAGATCGATGAAAAAAGAGATCAATTCAATCTTCTATTCAATGAAAATCAATATTCAACATTACCATTGAAAGCGGCATAATGAAGAGGTGTCGACAACGAATTACTTTCAATATTAACTTCGGCTCCTTGATCGATGAGTTTTTGAGCTTTCTGCACATTACCTGAAAAATAATGCAGACCAATGAAGTAGGTTGAACAAAGCATTTTTTAGAAACACAAATACTCGAAATTACCAGTCTGAGCAGCTCTATGCAGAGCTGTCATTCCATTTATGTCTTTTCCGTTTACTTAAAGTTGAAAAAATAGAAGATCAGTGAAGTGAATCGGAAGAAAATGTTGCATACAGTGACGCAGTGTGCTGTGTGAGTGAAACTTGATAAAGAAATGGAGCTTCAATCTTACCGTTTCCACTCACATCCACGATCAGGAACTGTGGAAATGAAACGAAGTGATTAAATTGAAATGGAACAATGGATGAGATTGTAATGGTTTTCAACTGTTTTTCATTCGAGTAAAAGATTCCGATGGACATTACTTTTGTAGTGGAAGATTTTTTTTCAATTGAAAAACTTTAAAATGGACATTTTTTCATTAATGAAATGAGTTTCGAAAAAATTATCACAAATTGTCCACAAAAAGAGTCAAATGTAAAAGATTCGATCCAAAAATTCCAAGCAACATTAAAATTACAAAAAATTAACTAAAATTGTCGACTCACCTGGGATACCACCAAGCCAATGAGCAGCAGTGTGAAGGATCTTCGACTCAGCATTTTTCCAGCTTCGAAATATCAAAAGTCTACTGTAAACGCATCAACTGATAAGAATTGACGAACTGTTTGATGGACATACGAATCGAACGCATCTTCTTATATACTTTTCGAGTATGGTCACATCAGCAATACATTAATGATATTATTTAATCCATATACAAAGACAATTCTAATTCAAGCGCACAAAATATTATCGCAAACATTTTTCAAGAAAACAATGTCAAACAATTGGTGGAATTACGATTCCACCTGTGCACGTGTGGATAATTTTGCGTTCCACATCATATGGATCGCATCAAAAAATGCCAGATGTTCCTTCACTACCTTCACTATCGTTTGAAAAATAATCCAATTAGATCATGACCATTAAACTGCAAATTCAATGTAAATATTCAAAAGTGAATATTTTCCACCCTTGAAGTGTTGAGTGGTGTTCAATTGACGAAGCTATTTGAATATGGATATGTTTACATCTTCTCGGTATGTACAAAACACACTCCGTTCCAAAGTCGTTTCAAAGTTTAAAAAAAACCACCGATGGATCGTCGTTTACATGCCGTTACAAAATAAATGTTTGAACGCACCACCTATCGCTGACAACAAACCACATTTGAGGTGATATTCCATGACAGCTACATTTTTGTGGTGTAAAGTATCTCACAAAGGCTTTAGAGTACGGAATCATATTTACTTTAATCACAAAATAAGGTAAATACTGAATGCGTTGAAAAAAGACATAAGCGAATCTCATACGAAACCAGAGCCGTACTTAGTAACACTTTCCATATACAGTGCCGATCAAAAGTTTGGGTACGATTGAAAAAATGGCATTTTTCGACAAAAAAATGGGATTATTTTTATAAAAACTTAATATATTTTGGTTTCAATTCGTAAATCTTACGGAAATAAATCATTTTAGACTTAAAATGTAGGATGTTATTGGATTGGTTTGAGAAATTTGATCAAAAAGTAGTAAAAATTGAGTTCATTTTTTTGTATGAAAATCATCTGACTTGCTACCGATCTCCGACCATATTATCAACTACTGTGCATGCGATTGTTTGGAAATTACTCAAAATGGCTCGTACACAATCCAAAATATCTGCCACAAGTGGATTTTTGTTAATTATATAAGATTTCTCATTGCTTTGGATGAAAAATGAAAGTTTTTCTATTTTGGTCAATACTTACATGGAGTTTCACCATTTTTGAGAAAAAAATATTTCTGCTCGCACAGCAAAAAGAAATCTCACGTAATTTGCAAAAATCCACTTGTGGCAGATATTTTGGATTGTGTACGAGCCATTTTGAGTAATTTCCAAACAATTGCAAGCACAGTAGTGGTCGGAGATCGGTAGCAAGTCAGATGATTTTCATACAAAAAAATGAACTCAATTTTTACTATTTTTTGATCAATCCATTAACATCCTATATTTTAAGTCTAATAAATAGTCTTACCAGTTTTCATAGCGTTCAGCTTTTATTCAGATTTTGCCCAGGAAATTTATAAGAATTTTCAGAAAAAAACAACAGTACGTTCATGTATTTTATGGAAAATTGCATTATGGTTCCGAAAACCTTGATGTTGGGTATTCAAATGAAATAGAACGTCTGATTGTCTTTATTATCGTCTGAATCCTGAAACTTCATTCAACTTCATATTTTCTACGCAGTTTTTGGCTTAAGATTTACCTCTTTTTCAAAAATGCAAAATAATCAAGTATTGAAAAAACTGAACTTTAATCGAAGATCTGCAAATTAGTCAAATATTTGGAGAATGAACTTTGATTTTAATTAAATCAAAAAATGTGAACGGAAATAATAAGCTATCTCGACAAAATGTTTAATTAGCAAGTTGATTTTTTTGTTTCTTTTTTGATGAAATTAGACAAAAGTTACCAAACCGAAATCAATTGGTCATTATTGCGATGGAACACTTGAAAACAAGTATCCAAAAACTTACCAGCAAACATCCCATACTGTTACACGCCGATTTTCAAATGCCCATGCGCGTTCGAAAGGGCATCCCTCAAAAACCCCAAAAACAAAATATTACGATCCCATATTCATATTTGGGGTAGTTATGGGGGTATGTTTATTTTGGGGCTGAAAATCGTGGTTTTTACATGTCAATGCACTTTTTAGCACTACATGAAATGTAGAGCTACTAATCTGCGTTTTTTTTTCTAATACTTTTTCGAGCCATGAACAGAATTAGAGTGGCTTTCAATTTTATGCTCATATTTTTTATTCAATTCAAACTAGTGGCAGTAACGACAAATAAGTGCATAGTATCTCGAAACGCTAATCAAATTTTTATTATCAAATGTTATTTAAAATTTACATTACTTTTTCCTTTTTTTGTATAGTACTCTTTTACCCTTTAGTATAAGTAATGGTTGAGATAAATTCTATGCGCATATTATTTATTTGATTTAAAGGAGTTACATTAATGAAGAATAACGTATAATAAAACAATGGTTTAGTTAAATTGATTTAATATCATATGTACTATCAAGAATTAATTCCCTTTTTTGATTATACATCTTTTCATGATACTTTTATCATTCATTTTACTTTACGAATCGATATTCGCAAAACAGAGATGACTACAAATGCATTTCCTTATTATTTTTTTTGTTATTTGTATATATCAAAACATAACAAAAATAGTAATGTAAATGAAAAATTAAAAAAACAACAACAACTGAATAAGGTTACACAAGATGTTTTTATTGCTTTCCATATTTCCAAT